TAATAAATATTTCAACCTTTATATTATGCACTTACGTTCTACGTTTTTTACGTTTTAAAATTCTTCGTTGTAGTTTCTCTCAGCAGTAAGTATACTGGAAAAAAGGGAATTCTTAAACGATTTAAATAATTCAAAAAGAAAAATTAATTTTCTCATACCACTTAAAAAAAAATCACTTACAATTTTTTGCATGCAGTAATAATTTTAAAGTAATTTTAAATTTCATTCAAAATATTTTATTATAAGACATTACTTTATTCTACATTTCTTTAATATTGAAATAAAAAATTCTTATCTGATATTTTTTTTTATATGAAATAACTTACAAAAAAATAACCAAAATTATCAACTGATGTTAAATGATAATATTCACAGATTTTTTTATTATTCAAAAAGAACGAAATTATCATAATAAAGGAAATGAATCTTAACTCTCCTCGATCTAAAGATTCCTCAATATGGGATTGCAGGTCTCAAATTAGCAGGTTCGAAGCTAGGGCGGTAGGCTAACTGAGAGGGAGAGGGAGGATTAATTCGATTTGCATTTAATCAGTTCACGAAACGTGCGATGAATATTCAAAACACACATCCAAGCGTTTTGCTTTCTCGTCGAGGTGTTGCATCAGCCATCTCATCATTGCGCGCTTATCTTTCTTCTTCATTACCCATCTATCGTCAACTTTTTGGCAAAACATTGTTAAAAGAAATTTCAACTTACGTCTGAATGAGGGACAAATTAATAATCATCTCGATCAATAATGATTATCGAACGATTATTCTAATTTAATTATTCAAATCTTCTTTCTTCAATGAAGTTGAAGGTAATAATAATGTAATAATAGAAATAAATTGTATCTGGACTGATCAATAATTGAATGACTCTCCAGATCTAAATCTTCCTTCTTCTCGAGGATAATTGTAAAGTAAATCATATCTGACTCGATCAATTATCGAATAAACCCAAATCTTCTGCTTCTTCTTGAAAGCAAAAATGAAAAGTGATCGTAACGATGGAAATAAATTAGATAAGTGGAAATGCAAATAATGAATATTTGGAAGTGGTGAAAGAACAATGCGAAAACAAATGAATTCTTCGTTTGTCGAATGGTTAACACGTCACACTCGAATCACAAGATATCCTCTGTTTCGTACGTTATTGCTTGCATAAATGGATCACGAGTTATCTCGTGCTTTATCACCGATGAATATTCATTATTATCGAGCAACTACTCAATTTTTAAGCAAATTTGCCTTGCTTAATCAACCCGTATTGATGATATTTGACAGTGGTTAAGAGCTTCTCGATATTCAAATTAAAGCCCTTTCTTTGATGTGTCAAAGAAAACGTATACGATCACTTCTTTGTACGTTTATTGATTTGTAGTTTTATTTCCTTGTAAAATAAACTTCATAAATATGATTCTATGATAATATACGATTTAAATGTGTGAAAATTATCGAAGACAGTTATCTAGTTTCTCCTGAAAAATTGGATTGAAAAAAATTAGAATTGAAAAATTGAAAAATGGAATATAAATAAATTCAGAAGAGACTTTTTTAAAAATTGGAATTTTCTGAGTGAAATTTGAATCTTCATAAGCGTAATATTTTTTTTTAATTTTTTAATGAAGCCACTTGGAAAATGGAAAATAGAGATGTCTGTGTAAGAAGGATTTTCACTCGAATTTACGAAGATATAGAATTTCGTGATGGTTGGAGCGGGAATCGGGGTGCAAAAAGCATGCATCCTCGAAATGCAAATTTGAGAAATTGTCCATGTTAACCGTGGAAGCATTATAAAACATGAGGTTCCATTAAAACGACGCGAAAATGGCTTTACCGCAACCGGGTCTTTTATTATTAATTTCCACTCCCTTTTTCTCTTTGCCGCGCGAATTACGGTTCCAGCAAAATCGTTGAAAGCGAGAAACGCGAGGAGGCGCGATTCCTTTCGCGAAAACGGCAGTTCGTTTGCTTCGAGCTATAAACAGATTCGATGTGCATATTTAATTAACCGATTTATCGGAAAAGCAAACGGACGATGTCATAAAATGAAGCACGGATGCAATCTAATTATAAAATATCGAATAAAGTAATAATTCATGGACAAACAGTTTTAACAGCTTTCTAATCAAAGATTTTATCGCTTGAAAATTTTTTCCCCCTCCAATACATCATTTTTCCATATATATATATACATAATTCCTTGTCTAAAAATAATCAAACGATTTATTGAGATGAATATTAAAAAACTTCCAAAGATGATTCTTAAATAAACTTCCATCATCCCCTTTCTTATCAAAAATACATAGAAAACAATTCGTTCCAAAGTTATTTGGAAAAGTGTATCGTTTAAAGCGCAACAAGCTCTCTAAATAAAAGTGTAAAAGTATAACTTTTCATCTGTCAAGCCAAAAAAACGACACAAATGAAAAAAATTTACACAAGCATTTCCGAATCGCGTTGTTCGAAACGAGAACGAGAGTGCGCCACGGTGAAAAGTGTGACATTCTCCGCTAAAAAGAGAGAGAGAGTTATAATTTCGCAGAGTGAGAGGAAGATTGAAAGAAAAAAAAAGAGGGGGGAGGAGGAGGAGGAGGTAAAAGAACGTGCGCCCTGCGTTCGTTTCCGCGATGTCCCGTTTCCACGTTCGTGGACGAGCCCCTTGAAGAAAGCTCATCCTCTTAGCAGCCTGTTAAATATTCACGAGAAGCGGCCGTTTGAGCGTGCGTTACGTTGAGTCGACGAGTTGCGGGACCTCGACAGATCCAAGGGGCGAGGAAAGGGGAGGGGATGGTTCACCTGGCGTCGAGCTACGAGGCCCTCGAGAACCGACATGCTTTTCCTGCTCCTTCCTTCCTTCCTTCCTTCCTTCCTTCCTTCTAACCCATCTTGGCTACCTACCAGACAAAAGCCTCGTTAAGATTTCCACCTTGAAAATTACTGCGCGCCCGATTAAAAGGGGTGCTCGGTTTCATTAAACCTTCAACCGTTCTCCGCTTGTTTATGCGTCTCCCCCGTTCCTGTGCCGCGGACAAGCGTTTCGCGCAACTGTCGCCCGAGATATTCTCGCTTTCTCGGATAAATGTGGACTTTGGTCGAAGGAGAGGGGAGAGAATTGTTGAGAGTTGCTTGATCGTCGCTCGAACGAGGAGTAAAGGGGTAATTGGATATTGTAGAGAGATTCTGAAAATGCGTGATTTTAGGGAGGTGAAACGTTTCCTTGCTCGATTAAATTTTCGTTTGGAATGTGTGTTTGATATATATATATACACTTTGACGAATGATCGAATGGTAAGGCGACGAATTAATATATTGGTGTGTCCAGGAAAGTTGGCGAATAATTTTTTTGGTGGATTAAGTGGATTGGATATCGAGTGGAACGATAGATAAGTTAAGTTTAAGTATGTCTACAGGAAAATATTATTATACGAGCTTGTAAGAATTGCATTTCTCGAAAAATTGTGAATACAATAATATTATTGTGTTATGTTTATAATTATATTTTAACTTGGAAAAGCTTACACAGAGAATAATTTCCCAATTAAAATTGCGGAGATATAATGGAACGTGCGTCGTGATAAGACAAATTCAATATTCCACTCTCTCAAACGACGTTGATCACTAATTAAGTTACTCGAGGCAAATCCGCGAATATTGCTGGAGAATCGTCGATAATGATAGGAATTGTTCGCTAAATGGAGTTTATAATCCGTTTATCCAAACGTATATTATATTATATACGTTTAACTCGAACAAATATCATGTTCCAATAAATCAAGAACAATCATCAAATCTGAATCGTTTTTAAAATTAAAGTAATTCTTAAACTTCGTTCATAAATATTGCAATTTAAAAATAGAGTTTAAGCAAGATTTTTTTTTCCACATTAATAAAAAATCTTTCGTTCGAATTCAAAAGATTTCAATTCTTCTTATCACTTCGCGATCGTTTCCATTCAGGATCATCGAGCTTCTCTCACAAATTCCCAGAGGCTTCCTATTCCTAGATCCAACAGCGGAAACTTGTCGCAATATACTTCGAACCACTCGATCCAGATTCCCTTGGAGCTTGGAAAAGATCTCGTAATACGAAAGATTCAATGAATTGGTCAAAGAATCCCGAGTAACTTCCCCGTAATCCATCTAATCGCCATTTCCTTTATATATCGTTGAAACTGTGCATTAGACCAATGTATCGAGATTCGAAGTGATTCTTAAATTATTCAGTTTATTAATTTCAACCACCTTCGAGTCCGACTTGTAAACTCTTTGATGATGGGTTTTAACCTTTTTATCGTCTCTCCTGCTCGAGATGAATTTTAAGGATGCTAAACACTCTAAAGTACACCTCTAAAGCTACTTTCTTTTTTTTTGCATTCTGTGGTTTACAGTCCTCTGTGGCTTGTGTCATGATTTCGTATCAGGATTTTTGTGGAATTTCTTGGAATTTGGTTGATCCTTGTTTGGAAATTCGAATATTTAGTCAACTTTCTTATTACACCGTGGTTAATTTATTTATACAAAAATATATAAGCTTACAAAATGATATACATATGGTTCTTAAACTATATAATAATTTGTTTAATAATAGAAGAAATTTGTCAAATCGCCTTGATAAGTCACAAATGCAATAATTGTTTCAGTTTAAACACGTGTTTGTCAATGCAAAACGAATAATATATTCTTGAAATAAAATCTCTGAGAATTGCATACGTACAATTTATAGAATCGATGACAATTAGCATCGGTGGGATTAAAGTTGGATTTTCTCGTTGCTCGTTGTCATTGAATAAATCTATGGATAGTTTCAATTGCTACAGATACAAATTCTTACATTAATTTCTTCGATTGATCCATCAAATTGACAAGCTTTCTATCGAACAGATCTGTCCATTAGGTATTCCATAATAATTTGTTGTGATACATTAGCGATTTTTAATTGTCTTGTAGATTTTTTCTTTTAATCGACATGATTTACGGCAGTTCTGATCGAAATTCGTTCGTTTAATTGTTTTTCAATTAAGAATTCGCGATCAGCATTGACGTTGATTAAATCTATACTATAGCAATATGAAAATATATGTAAAACTATTTTGTACCTGTTTACTAACTTAATTATTAATTTACGGTGTCAGTTCCATCGTTCTCGTCGACAATCTGATAAGTTATCAATTATATATAATTAATTTAACGCGATTAAATATAAATTTATGATGCCGACCATGTCATCGAAACCGATGGTTATAAATCGAAGAAGCGTCGAATTTAACGACCCCAACCGGCCCTGTAACAAGGAAAATTTTAATTGAAAATTATTATATATATATATATATATATTTCCGAGAATTAAATATACACGCGTGTAATTTTATTTTCGTGCCCAATATATCACTTTGGCCGAAGAAACTCGATTATTAATAGAATATAATTAACCGGCGAACAATTAGTCAATTAACCTTCTAAAATTTAATTTCACGCACTGCGAATTTTCGTGTTTTAATCTAAACGCTGAACGTCGATAATTATTAATCGACAATAAATTTCCTTACCCAACGTTGGCGTACGATATGGTAGATGATCTTCGTTCTAACTGGAAACTGCCAACATCGATGTCATCTTGGTCGTAGTATGGTCTGACGAACCAAAACGCGTATGGATAGTACAGAGTATTTTTCGGTGCGACCACTATGCCATCGTCTGCACATCGAATCCAAATTATTAATCATTTACATTTCCACGAGTTAGTTTAATTTTTCACAAAGACTTTTAAAAAAAAACTAATATTTATTACGCGTTATTTATCACAAAGATGGATTTTTCGGTGCGATCACTACGCCATCGTCTGCACATCGAATCCAAATTATTAATCATTTATATTTCTACGAGTTAGTTTAATTTTTCACAAAGACTTTTAAAAAATTATTATCATCATCATCACATTTCTTAGCTTCATTTTCAAGTATAAATATTTTCAACGACACGATATATTTTAACGTTCAAAGGATTTTAAAGTTTTTATCGATCGGTTAAAAACTTACTGCTTCGCTGAGGAACCGGTTTCGCGACGACGATAGTCAAAACTAGGAAGACGATGCAAACGACAGACGCCACACTCCTCATCATGTTCTCGCTTTCGAACGAATGGGGAAGCTCGAACGTAACCGAAGTCCAGTTTTTGTCTGCTGATCCCTGATACCTTGATCCTCTCTTATATACAAAAGCGGTACGCACCATGACACACTGATCTGTTTGTGCTGCAACAAATAACCTGTTAATCGCGTTCGCAAAACGCATCGAGAATGACGAATGTTGCTAATGAGAACCGCAATCTTGGATAGGTCGCGTGTAAATCGTTTAATTCGTTTCGCATGAAAACAATTTAGTTTCGTCCGTTAATACGTTGAACAATATCTCGTGTGTTTATTCTTTGCCTTTTATTGTGTTTCGTTGAAAAACGGAACATTGTATCTCTGGTAAAAATTTGTTTGTAATAAATAAAATTATCAATTTCGAAAATTCGAGTATTGAATGATATTTAATGAGATCTTTTAATATTGTTTCTCATCGAACAGTTGGAAATTAAAAAAAAAAATTTCAAGCTTTAATATTCGATTTCCTATCGCTCTTTCGATTCGTAGCATAATTTAGTATTTCTTTAATTTGAGAGTCGCAACAAGATCGAAAAGATGTTGTACCTTGCATCGTATCTTATTATTTCCAAGAACGAAAAAGTACCTTTGTTCCAACGAAATCGTCTCCCCCAGAATACATGGAAATCTATAATTTTCTCGAGAAACAATCAATACCGCGAAACGCGCGACGCAGAACGTGCGAAACACAGAAATTATGAGGAATCTATAAGTTGACACACGTGAATTTACTACACACATCATCGTTCCGATCATCGTTGTCAATTCTGACGATTATACCGCAAATTATTCGCGAGTTAGCATAATCATCCGTGGTATCATCGTATCTTGGCTGAAATTAATCGCCGTTAAATACCTTATCTCGACATACCTATCTGTTTACCATCGTTTAATGCCACTTTCGTTATCATTATCGTTACCAAATTAATGTAATTTCCTACTTAGGCACACGCACTCTATTATCGTTTACTCTCGTCCGATAACTAAACTCCTCCTCCTCCTCTTCCTCCTCCTTCTCGATGTGGCTGCACGATAACGGGAATACATAATTAGTTTCGGTAATTATCAACGAGTTGTAGCGTACACGGAATTAACGAATCCGTATTATGGCATATTTATGGAGTATTTGCAGATCCAAACTCTCGAGATAAGAAGAAAAATACACATATCCAGGAGAATAGGATCTGAACTGTTTCTCGTGGAGAACGTTAAGAGAAGAGAATTGCGATTAATCGGAATAAACCGAACAATTATTCTTTTAACGAAAAGTTAATCGAAAAGATTCGTCGAAATATTTTTAATCTACTGATATCTGTATAAATATCCTCTTTCTTTTGTAATATCATCATATCTCGATCGAATCCTAATTTATTCAATCCACTCGCAAAAATCTTTCGATTCGGATTTCAAATTCACCGCGTCTCGATATCGATTTCTCGCAAATAATATCGTCTGGAGAAGGAAACTCGTCGTCTGTTGAACGGTGTCGCGGCAACGCCTTTGCTACCAATAACCCTTCCTCCCTCCTCCCCGTGGAAACTTGCGAGATACTTGTTTCATAAAGGCTATCGCCACGGTTGGTCGTTAAGAACCCCCCTATCCGATTACGATTGTTGCCAACGTCTTATGGCTTTATGATACCGCCGCTACTTTAAACTACTAATGCAATTTCGCGGTACAATGAACAATAGGATCAGTGGAAAGTTCGGACTATCCGATTGAACTCGGGCTAATTGGTGGAGAGTTAGCATCATCGATGTATCGTGTAGTCAGAGAGAGCCACGGATTTCTTGCTTTCGCCATTTTGGAACGCTTTCATCGGATTTGCATTGATATCTGTCTGAAGATTTATTAATAAAAATTTAATTCAACGAAGAATTTCTCTATCGATGAAATTTCTACGACTTTTTTTTAACAAAAATTGTTGGAGTCTCCAAAATACGTACACCAATAAAATTTCTGTCTGTGGAAAGATCAACAACAATTTTTATTCTCTAAATATCTTACAAGTATCTTACATGTATCCTGTCCACTAAACGAATATCTTATTGAAAAAATGGCTTCGTCGTAATTCCATTAAAAAAAAAAAAAAAAAAATAGCATCCAAAGAGGCGTTTTAATCAAAGGCGAGGCGAGGAGATGATTCTCTAATCGATTGTCGTTATTTAGATTGGCAACGACGACGAGCAAACCAAAGAAATGGTCGACGACCAATCTTTAAGTCTTTGTTCTCGCGCGGAAAACCTGTCCACCTGACTGGTTTCTCCGTGCTTTTTCACGTGCTTCTGTATTGTCTCTCCGTACACAGAAACGGAAAACACACGGTGTCACGTGCGGCATAGTGAATGAACACGAACGTTCATTGAATAGTTAAGATCTGGTGGTGGCGCGCTTCCGCTGGTAACGACGACGACGCGGGCTTTGTTCCTTCATCGAGACTCTCTCGTTTTTTCCTACCTGAAAAAAATCAAAGTCGAGGTATTTAAGCTCTGTTGATATCTCTTCGAAAAAATTGACTATCGATTTCACGTTTATCTGATGTATTATGGAAAGCTGGATTAACGAGAATTTTTTTTTTTTTTTGAAAGGTTGGAAAAAAATTTGAAAAATTGAAAGTACGACCTTCAAAGGGATGGCCTTTTTTTTAAAATGATTTTTCTCTGGTGACGAAAAATTGGATTTCGTATTTTCAAACGTTTGGGCATTTTTTTTTTTTTAACTTTTTTCTTCTTCCTTTTTTTTTTTTTTTTTTAAAGGGTGGCAAAAAATTTGAAAAATTGAAAGGACGAACTTCCAAGGGAGGGCCTTTTTTTTAAAATGATTTTTCTCTGGTGACGAAAAATTGGATTTCGTATTTTCAAACGTTTGGGCATTTTTTTTTTTTTTAACTTTTTTCTTCTTCCTTTTTTTTTTTTTATTTTTTAAATAGAATAAATGGAGTTTTTTTTTTTTGAAAAGATGTTGAGTTAACGTGTAATTAAAAGTGATTATGTGAATAATTTGATGGAATATTATATGGAATATTTTATGAAAATTTTATTTTTGTCAACAAGTATTTAGATTCATAGAAGATAACGTTAATGGAATTTAATTAAAAGAGACTTATCTTAATTAAAATGTTCTTATCTAATCATCTTCGTATATGCAAATGTATTTTTCATGTTCAAAATGTGTGACAAGTACTTACGTCGTAACGACATTGAAAGATTCTACGATGAAAAACAGGTATCAAAAGAGAGAGAGAGAGAGAAAAATAAATAAAAGAACAACTTTTTACCGACTATAATTGTAAAGAGTTATGAAAAATACGATTGCAGGAAGCCACTCCAAAGTTGAAAAAGCGCGATGTAGAAAGAAAGAAAGAAAGAAAGAAAAAAAAGGAATTGAAAGAGAAAAGAAATAAAAAGCGAAAGCGGAGGGAAAAAATTTTATTCCTTCAAAATAAAACTTTTTGCCTACAGGAGGAAAAGCAAACAACAAAGTTGTAAAAAGACCCCATTGATACGAATAAAAATCTTCAAAATATTTTATCACGTTACAACGCGACACTGTAATTTTCCGCAAAGGAACAATATACTCGCCCGTTCCATTCCCAATCCCTCAAAAAGCAGCGGAAGCGGGCGACGATCCAATTAACCGAATTGCCGTAATAATCGTGGCGCGGAAACAACAAAATCCATTGGCCATCCGCGGAGAAACATCGCCCCGGTGTTATATGCAGTAATTATCCCGAATTACGTAGCGTGTTTAGTTTCAGTTGATCCACGTCGCCATCAGAAATTGCGCGATGGGCCCGTTGCTGTCGTGCTGAACACGCTTGTTATTTGATCCAATGACGGCTCGTAAGCTTGGCCACCGTAATCGTCGTGAGAGCCGCCATTGTCCAGGATGGTTGGCCGATACGTTGCAAAGATTATTGCCCTTGGCACACATTCGTGCCTCGTTCAACACAAATTCAACCAGATCGCCTCCCTCGCCCCTGTTCGACGATCTTCCAACTGTAATCGAGAAATGTGACCGGCTCGAGGGAAATGGCACGTGCTCGATTTTTTGTTAAGGAAAAATTTTGGTCTACGAAATTCGTTTTATCCGTTTCTTCTCGTTAATCGCCAACCAGAAGAAATTCGTCTGGTATGATAATCGATGATGATCTCAAAGGAAATTTATGAATTATTAAATTACGAACACTTTGGATTATTGTTTAATTTCTAAAAAAAAAAATTGCATTTCTTCAATTTGAAAATTAATACCAACAACTGTAACACGTGAAGAGATCGATACACTTACGGATATTTGCACAAAGGTCTACGTATTCTTAGAGCATCCATACTTAGCTCTCGAGCTTCTCTGCTATCAGGAGAAGGAAAAAAAAATTGCATTATTTCTCCAAACTGAAAATTAACACAAACAACTGCAGCGCGTGAATCTCAAAGAGATCGATGTACTTACGCATATTTGCACAAAGGTCTACGTATTCTTAGAGCATACTTAGCTCTCGAGCTTCTCTACTATCAAGAGAAAGAAAAAAAAAAATTGCATTTCTCCAATCTGAAAATTAACACCAACAACTGTAACACGTGAATCTCGAAGAGATCGATACACTTACGGATATTTGCACAAAGGTCTACGTATTCTTAGAGCATCCATATTTAGCTCTCGAGTTTCTCTGCTATCAGGAAAAAAAAAAAAGAAGAAGAAGATAGGAAAGGGGTTGCGTCCCATGATAAATCTAGTCGCGTGTCGGCCAGCCATCGATCCTTTAGCCACTGATCCATTGTCGTCTTGTGCCGGATAATTCCTCGTACAACAATTTCCCTTTTCTGCACCCTTCTTTTACTCGAAACGAAAAAGGATTCTCTTTCCTCGCCTCGTACGTGCTCCAGTCCGATCACGTTTCGCTCAACGGGCTGCTTTTCGACTTTCACGGCCACTTTTGGGATTCGAACGAGTCCCCGAATGCTTTGCCAATACTCTTTCGTCGATGTCGCGGATTTTTGTCGATCGAGATCCCTTTGGAATCGCTTGGGATTTGGAGCGCGATTGTCCCGCTATATAATAATAAAGAAATTGAAGGAATTGAATCGTTGGATTGGAGAGTTCCGGTGTCTTGAAGAATGATTCGAATCGGAAGTTAATCGAAAGGTGTATGCGTATTCTTCGATGCGGTCAATTGGTTTAGGAGTGGCGCGGAAGTTGTTGCTGGAAGGCGTGTGTGTGTGTGTGTATACACTTCCAAAGAACGTTTGACGGTTCACTGCTCTCTTTAATTTCTTTACCGTTTAATAGAATGCGAATTGTGAATCCAGTGAAGGAATTATACATAGTATAAATATAAAGGAATTATTATCTATAATTGTAACTCTTTGTAGATTATAGAAGATTATAAAGATTCAATTTATCAAAATAGAACTTTTTTAATGAGTATGATGAATTTTTAATTTAAAGAGGAATTGTTATTTGTAATTGTAACTCTTTGTAGATCAATATAATATAGAAGATCTTCTATATTATAAAGATTCAATTTATCAAACTTTTGTTTAATGAGTATGAGGAATTTTTATCCGTAATTGTAACTCTTTATAGATCATAGAAGATTCTTCTATATTATAATGATTCAATTCATTAAAGTAGAACTTCTGTTTAATGAATATAATGAATTTTTAATTTAAAGAGGAATTGTTATCTGTAATTGTAACTCTTTGTAGATTATAGAAAATTTTTTTATATTATAAAGATTCAATTTATCAAAATAGAACTTTTTTAATAAGTATGATGAATTTTTAATTTAAAGAGGAATTGTTATCTGTAATTGTAACTCTTTGCAGATCATAGAAGATTCTTTTATATTATAAAGATTCAATTCAAAATAGAACTTTTTTAATGAATATGAAGAATTTTTAATTTAAAGAGGAATTGTTGTCTGCAATTGTAACCCTTTGTAGGTCATAGAAGATCTTCTATATTATAAAGATTCAATTCATCAAAGAACCTTCGTTTAATGAGTATGATGAATTTTTAATTTCAAATGAGTTTAAGTGAAGTATAGTACACGTAAATTCGAATTTCCATATCGATGGTAAAAGATGATTCGTAATATCATACTTTTAAGATAGCGATCTTAGAAGCTCTGGTTAGAAGTTGGACGAAATATTCTAATCTGTTGCGAGATATTTGCGTAAGACCAAGGTGGATTTTCTGGTTGTTTCCCTCGATTTTACATACGTTTGCAAGCCTGCTTGCATAATGCAAATATGGAAACAACGAAATAGTCGAAACGTTGTTATCTTCAAGATGACGCGTATCTAGGTGCATCTTGTTCCTCTTCTTTTCTCTTCTTCCGTTGTATTTAATATCTTTTTTATTTTCTATCGACTCGTAACAATAAATAAAAATTTAATCAATAAGATCCCCAAATAATCGTATATTTATTTCTCCGTTTTCTCCCTCTCCCCGTTTTCGACCCTATTTAACTTCCTTGTTTGAATTATTATTTAAGAACTTTCAAAGGGAATTCTATTTACCGTTCTCTCGTTGTCGTTTCCACGCTCAAGGACGAGATTTATCGAACGTGGTAAAATGAGGTTATTGCAAGGCAACCGGTGTATTTGGACTTTGTGAGTGAGTGCAAAACAGATCACGATGCTCTAATTGAAAACGCTCCTTCTCCTATTCACAGCTTATTTCTAAGGACAATCGACGTTCTATTTTTAACATTTTCGTAAATATTTTCCCTTATTCCGATTCGTAAAACTTAAACTCAATTTTAACTTTTTTAATTACATTTTCAAAAATGTAAATAAATTTGAAATTACCTGATAACATCTGTAATTATTATTAAGAAATATTATTCGAATTATTCGAGCGTAGATTCCTCTCTAATAATCGATAGAATTATGAATGGGCGAACTCGTTAGAATATATTAGCAATTATGAATTACAAACGTGTTCAGCTATGCGACACGATTGGTATGAAAGGAAAAGCTCGACGCGATCAGATTATGAATTAATTTCGAAAGTGGTGCGCGCCCCGTACTCGCTTGCTGTGTCGCCAATAATTAATAACCGCCAAGATCTGCAATTATTATCGCACTCTGTTTTCACCAAAGTAAAGTAAAGTAAAGTAAAGTGACTATGAACACGCGTGGAATTTCATATATATATATATTCGCGGGTAAAACGAATTTGAATTTCGAAAAGAAAAAAAAAAAAAAAAAAAAAAAAAAAGCTGTATTCGAACCCACAAAACCGGTTTTTGTGACACGGAATGACAATTATGGAGGAATCACGTCTGTCGCGTGACGGTGAAATTTATGTCATCGATGCGCGTACACGGTAATCGCGTTGTTGGAAGCAAACAATCGAATAATTTTACGGTGAATTAGTTTAAACCCTGGATAATTTCGACCTTCATCGTTGTAATTTCGTTCCTCGTTGTCGATCGATGAGTGATTCATTTAAAAAAAAAAAAAAAAAAAAAAAGTTCTCGCAACAGGCTGCTATTTTCTTTTTTTCCATCTTATCGCAGCCAGAGTTATTATTAAACACGTTCCATCGATTCGATATGCCGAGCACGGCGTGCAATTCTTTGCGCCGTGGTATGCATCGAACTCGATTCGATATCGGTCCACGCGGAGCCGGGTCACGTGACGTCGACTGACTTGGACATCGACGAGAAGAATATCGATGAATAAGGTGATTTCGTAGCGTAGGCAAATGCATAATCTCGGTGAAAGGATTGTTGGTCTCAAGGTAGCCTATATCGGTGATAAGTAATTATCATAAAAACTGTGCAACTGCTCGTTCGAGTTGCGCGTGCCACCGATTGACGAGAATTCTAAAAATTTCGTCAAAGGGATTGATTATTTGAAAAATTCGTTCGAAAGGCGTATCCTCTATACGATCTTATTACAGTTCCATAACAATTCCAAACCCAGAAAAATTCTCCAAATGAGAATTCCAAAAGTTTCGTCAAAGGGATTAATTACTTGAAAAATTCGTATCTTCCATCCTCTATATATCGATCTTAGGACAGCTCCACAACAATTCCAAACCCAGAAAAATGAGAATTCCAAAAGTTTCGTCAAAGGGACTAATTACTTGAAAAATTCGTTCGTATCTTCGTTCATCCTCTATATATCGATCTTATGGTAGCTCCACAACAATTCCAAACCTAAAAAAATAAGAATTTCAAAAATTTCGTTAAAGGAAATTAATTACTTGAAAAATTCGTATCGAAAAGCGTATCTTTGTTCATTCGTCCTCTATATATCGATCTTATGGCACAACAATTCCAAACCTAGAAAAATGAGAATTCCAAAAGTTAAGGATTGATTATTTAAAAATTCGAATCGAAAAGTGTATAACAATTCCAAACCCAGAAAAATTCTCCAAAGAGAAGTCTATAAGAATTCCAAAAATTTCGTCAAAGGGAATTAATTACTTGAAAAATTTGTATCTTCGTCCTTTATATATCGATCTTATGGCAGCTCCACAACAATTCCAAACCTAGAAAAATAAGAATTCCAAAAGTTAAGGATTGATTATTTAAAAATTCGAATCGAAAAGTGTATAACAATTCCAAACCCAGAAAAATTCTCCAAATGAGAATTCCAAAAATTTCATCAAATTAGTTACTTGAAAAATTCGTATCTTCCATCCTCTATATATCGATCTCATAGCATAACTCCGTAACAATTCCAAACCCAAAGAAAAATTCTCCAATTTTACGAAACGTTCCAATCGTCCACGAGAATCCTGCAACAAAATTCCATCTCAGAAAACATCGTGCAAAATATACGTTAATCAAAAGGAACGTGAGAAATCCTCGGCTTCGACTCCAGAAATCAACTCGTCAATCCTCGAAATAAAATTGGACGGACACGCGACTATGTCT